CCCCCCCCGGACCAGCTGGTCCTGGCGGGGCTGGACCAGAGCGAATTCCAGGGCTTCACCTACATCAACACCGACTTTGTGCACTCCTCGCTGCGCCCCCCCACCTCCCCCATCTCCATGGTCTGACCCGCCGGCCTCCTGGCTCCTCCATGGCCTGACCTGCCTGTAACCTCTCTCCCCCGTCCCGATGACTCCCCCCCCACACATGTCCGGACCCCCAGCCCCTGCGTTGTGTGCACAGAAAATGCAGCCTCCTCTGGGGTGAGGGCTGGGAGTATGGGGACCCCACGCCCGGCGCTGGAATGCAGACATCTCTGGGGTGAGGGCTGGGTGTATGGGGACCCCACGCCCGGTGCTGGAATGCGTCTGTCTCTGGGGTGAGGGCTGGGTGTATGGGGACCCCACGCCCGGTGCTGGAATGCGTCTGTCTCTGGGGTGAGGGCTGGGTGTATGGGGACCCCACGCCCGGTGCTGGAATGCGTCTGTCTCTGGGGTGGGGGCTGGGTGTATGGGGACCCCACGCCCGGTGCTGGAATGCGTCTGTCTCTGGGGTGAGGGCTGGGTGTATGGGGACCTCACGCCCGTCCCTATTTAATGGCAAACACATTTGGGACAGGAAGCGAAAGGGAGCGTCACAAACGTGGGCGGGTTTTCAGGAAGCCCCTCCCACTGGCGGAGAGCGCCCCCTAGGGAGCCCGTCTGCTCCCTGCAGCACAGCGCCCCCTAGCGCTGTCCTAGAGCTTCCGGGCCAGCCCTGCCTGCCAGGGGAGAGTGCCCCCTACTGGGCATGCTGCATTAAATAGCTTTGACCCTGTCCATAACCCCGGGGGGATCTTGAAGGTCAGAGGACAAATGCTGCTTACTCCTGAGTCTCTGCTTAATGTGCCCCCCTCCCGATCTGCGGCTCCCCTTCTCTGGTGCATGGACTACATAGAAGCACATCTCTATTTACCGCTGTACCCCCTCCGGCCAGCCCACTGCGGCTTCTCCCTGTTGTGCCCCCCGCTGGTCTGGGGCTGGGGTGCAGGGCTTGGGGTGTCGGATGATCTATGGGCTGGAGGCGACGGCCCCCCTCCTCCTGGGTTCATCTGACTGGTGAGGGCCAGCCGGACTCTGGGGTCCTCTCCCCAGGCCAGGGAGGGGAGTGGGGGCTAGTGGTTAGAGCGGGGGGGTCCTGGGAGCTAGGGATCCTGGGTTCTCTCCCTGGCTCGGGGAGTGGTGGGGGAGCAGGCTGTTACCCGCCAGCTGTACTCCCCAGTCCCCTCCTCTCCTCCTGGAGCTGCAGGATCATAGGAGGCCAGGGGGAGGGGAGATGCTGTCCTGAGACACATATGGGGGGGTCTGCTCTTGGTCCCCCCCCTCCCCCTGCCAGTTCCTGTTCCCTCCCTCCGGCCAGGGTCTGGTCTGAGTCTTCCACCCCTGGCCCAGAAGCGACCCCCTCGCCCTGCTCCGAGCCCAGCTGCAGCCGAGCTGTATAAAAGGTATTTATCCAACCCCCAGTGGCTCCGGCTCCTTTCTGACTTGTCCTGCTGGGAGGGGAGCGGGGAGCAGTGGTTAGAGCAAGGTAGGGCTGGGGTCCTCTCCCCAGGCGAGGGAGGGGAGTGGGGGCTAGTGGTTAGAGCGGGGGGGTCCTGGGAGCTAGGGATCCTGGGTTCTCTCCCTGGCTCGGGGGGGACAGTGTGGTCTGGTGGTTACAGCTGTAGGGGAGCAGGCTGTTAACCCCCAGCTGTACTCCCCAGTCCCCTCCTCTCCTCCTGGAGCTGCAGGATCATAGGAGGCCAGGGGGAGGGGAGATGCTGTCCTGAGACACATATGGGGGGGTCTGCTCTTGGTCCCCGCCCTCCCCCTGCCAGTTCCTGTTCCCTCCCTCCGGCCAGGGTCTGGTCTGAGTCTTCCACCCCTGGCCCAGAAGCGACCCCCTCGCCCTGCTCCGAGCCCAGCAGCAGCAGAGCTGTATAAAAGGTATTTATCCAACCCCCAGTGGCTCCGGCTCCTTTCTGACTTGTCATGCTGGGAGGGGAGCGGGGAGCAGTGGTTAGAGCAGGGGAGGGCGGCGGGCAGCCAGGACGC